AAAAAAACATCCATATATAAATCTTTTATTAAAAGCTTTTTTATTAGTAGAAATTTTTCATAAAAATTATAAGGACAATATCATTTAATCGAAGGAGATTTGCAATTTTTGTTTAAATCTCGTTCATATTCTATAGATTCACTTACACTTTCTAGCATAATAAAAAAAACCATTTATATACGTATGTATCAGAGACCGTCACAGGGCACTTTTTTCCGCCCTGCCCTGCCCTGTGCCCTGATCCGCCCTGTCCTGCCCTGCTCTGAAGATGACTCATTAGGGAAAATGTTTGCCCTGTCCTGCCCTGAGGGCAGGGCAGGGCAGGGCAGGGCCACCTGCAGGGCTTATAACTGTGTTTACCTATTGCAAGGACTGATGATCTGACAAAAACTATGTAGTCGTTTTCATATTCAGTAATCATGTTTTATTTACACCATTTCAAAAGAAGACTTCAATCAAAGCAGTTGCATCATAAAAAAACACTGTATACATGAGCAACAAAAAAAACAATGAAAATTATCACAAAAAAAAAGAAATCACCGCACAAGAAAAGTATATGTATAACAAAAAAAAACACTAGATTACAATAATAAATAAGAGAGCTGACTAGTACCTATTCATTACAGCCTTTGTAATGAACGAATAAGAAGAATGTTGTCTACTTGTTCGGGATTTATATTTGTTCTTCGTTGATTGATGATTAAACCAGCAGATGAGAATTGACGTTCAACACCTGTTGATGTTGCCGGTATTGAGTGAATTTGTTTGGCCAATTTTGATAATAATGGAAATTTTTCTGATTGAGTTTTCCAAAAATCTAATGGATTATTTGTAAGTGATGATTTATCGATTGGCATGATCAAATATCTATCCAATTCATCGGATTGTTTTATATTAAATTCATATTCATCACTTGAATAATCAATTAATTGAACTTTTTCATCAGAAGTATCAAATGGACAATCATCTTCGAATCGATCAAAAAGTGTATCAGCCGTTTTGAATTTTTTTGGTGGTGGAACAGCTGTTTGTTTATATGCATCGATAGTTGAATCTGAATCACGTATTATCTTTAATTGTTCACGAACATATTTATGACATTGTGAACGTTCTTCTTCTGTACAATTTTTTAATAATCGGTATTTCGGATGCAACATTGTTGCACAATAATGACGAACATCAAGAACAAACAGCTCATCGATTAATTTTAACAAACGTTCACGAAACCATGTAATACCTAAAACAACAAATCAGCTAAATGAAAAGTATTTGGTTGAAATATATAGGGAAATAGCTTATAATTCAACGACCATCTATACCAATGACAATCATTCAAAAATGATTTACTTAGAACATGTACGTCTAACAAAGACGTAAGGATAAATTATAAGATTCAAAACACGATGCTATCAAAATTACAATACTGTCAATGGATTATTTTATTTCAAAACTTTTCAATACTAACCTTCTAATTCATCAGCTTCTTCATCTTCTTCTAATTCATCATCATTAATGTTGTTTTTCGTCGAATTACAATAATTTTTTTTGTAATTAATTAATGATTTATATGAAGTTAAAGCATCTTTTAATATCAAAGTACACAATAACACCATATATAAGGATGGAGCATTTCCTGTTTGGATTAATGTCATTATGTGTTTAAATGGTTTTAAAAGTAATATCAACTGTTTGATGGTTGTTTCATCTAAATCATTTATTAATGATTGTTTTTTTCGAGCTAATAGTAATTTTTTTGTAGATTTAAATGATCTTAAAAGACTTTCTAGAAGATTTGACATAGATAACCAGCGAACAATACATGATTGATGTAATGTAACACCACCTTGTTCTTTGATGTCATTATTGATGCCTGTCTAAAAGTCAAAATGAGATAAGATGATAATGTAAATTGGCATAAAAGATAAATATTCTGTGAGAAGTACTTACTTTTTTCACGTACTTGACCACCTTCTTACATTTGTTTAAAACTTGAAGAACACGTTTAGCTGGTTGTGGAATTTGATCGGCGTTGATTTTCACCTGAGAGACTGATAATTCATTTTTTACCATAACAATTTTTCTTGAAATATTTTTTTTTTTTCGAATAACTGGTAAAGAAACTGTATTATTATATTCATCATCAGTTGATGATTCACTCTCATCAGCAGAAGACTCATAGTTTTCATTACTATTATAATTAGCTGTTGTTGGTTCAGCATCAAATATAGGTGTATCATCATATACAACAGCAGTAGCAGCAGCTTTTTTCTTTTTTCTTTTGTTCTGGTAAAAACATATTTTTACGATATTATTGATTCTATGTCCAAAGCAGAAGATCGGCTGAAAATTTTTGAATGCACAAACAAAATTGCTCCCACGATCACAAACAATATTAACATCAGCTAATGACTTAATTCCGAAAAATTCCAAATACTTATGAAGTGCCTAAAAAAATAAAAATATACTAAACTTGCAATTGCAACAGATGAAAAACACTCTTCCGTAGACTGCGAAAACTTTCATTATCAGCGAATGTTTGTCAAAATACTTTTTCATTAATAGATCTTAATGGATTTATATTTAAAAAAAAGATCTATACAAAAAGATCACGAAAAAAATTTAAGTAATATTTTATCTATCTATAAGTAGTAGATGACAGAAAAAACGAATAGACTTACATTCAACGTGTTTTCAGCGGTCTTTTTTTCGTATTCAAACGGTTTACAACATAAATCAATTGTTTTATAATGACAATCATTGTCAACAATAATTACAGTCACGCCTAAATATGAAATCTTTTTGTATGAATCGGTCCAGTAATCCGGACAAATTGTTAATGAATGTTCTTTCAAAGGAATTGATAAAATTTCTTTGATTTGTTCACGTGAAGTATCAGCAAATGATGAAACGTGCCGTGATATGGATTTTTCACCACGAAGTACTTCATTAATATCAAATATTCCATGCACACCACCTAATAGAGACATAAATAAAATTATAAATTGCATATATTTACGGCTATTTACCCAAACGAACACATTCTTGAGCTAAATTTCTAAAACCAATATCATCTAATATACTAAAAGGCCTGATATCACCACACACCCATTTTACAGATAAATCTTTCATTTTTGTAATATCATTTTCTGTAAATTTTACCTGTTTTGTAAAACCCATTTGGTTTAATGTTGTCTGTGTTGATGGAGTTGAAGATGAAGTAAAACTACTTGATGATGATGATGTTGTTATTGTCGTATTGGATAAAGGAAAGCATTTATCTGCATGTTGTTTAAAACGTTTTGTACCACTTAAATTATTATAAACCTGAGTGTTCATACACTTAAAGCAACTAATAAACCCAATAATTCTTTGTAATTTCTTATTCTCATCTAGCTGTGCAGGATAACCAAATGCTCGCCACCATTCAGCAGCAGATGGTGATTCATTTTCTATTATTTGATACTTCGATTTTTCGTAGATTAAAAAGTCCTTGATCTTCTCGGAATTGAAAGAATTTGAATTTGACGATGATGAATTTGATGATGATGAACTTGATGATAGTAAATTTGATGATGATGAATTTGATGGTGATGAACTTGATGATGGTAAATTTGATGATGATGAATTTGATGATGATGAATTTGAATTTGATGATGAATTCGAAGAAGCATCAGAACGACAACATTTAGCCATACTACGTGAAGACATTATATCATTACTCAATGATGAAGTTAAAGATGATTTAAATTCTAAAAGACAAAATTCAAAGCTAGAAATATATAGTGAAACAGTAAAATTAATAGATCAAATGCACAAAGTAACTTATTCCCTTATTATAATCAAACATTGTTCGAGATTTTTTTTCATCTTCTATCATCTTTTTTTTGTAATTGTACTGGACTGTATTGTACCTAATAAAAAACATAATAATTGTCGCTACTACATGCTGCGACAAAATCATATAATTAACATCAGCTCGTCACGACATCTGTTGTAGTTGTTTGTGATATCAACAATATTGACTACAAAATCTTTCTCAAACATTGTTTGCAAAAAAAAGTTCGCAGGGCAAAAAAATTTGCCCTGCCCTGCCCTATGCCCTGCCCTGGCTGCCCTGCAGGGCAAGCAGGACAGGGCTAAAAAAAAAAATTTGCCCTGCCCTACAGGGCAGGGCAGGGCAGGGCGTCAGGGCATCAGGGCAGCCCTGCCCTGTGACGGTCTCTGGTATGTATAATGAGAAAAAAAATATGTGATTCATTAATTTATTTGTTATTACTACTAAAATTTTTTTACAGACTCAAATATTTAATCTATACATAATTTTATTTATAAAAATTCAGAGATATTTTTCAATGAACGAAATTGACGTACTGCGAGAATAAAATTCTTTTTTTCTAATTATTATCAATAGAAAACATATAGTTCAAAATACACGTTAAAATAAAACCATATTTGAAGAATATATGTTTTCTTTTTTATATAATGCCTCTTTCTTCACATGTAATAAAAAAAAAAAAACATCGAATTTTTATAAAAGAATTAAATACTATGAAAACAAAATGGTGGAATTGTTATATCGGTTGAATAGTTTTTATACGAGAGAAACATAATGAGAAATACATGAATATATGCATCAAATGTTGTACTATTATCATTATTGTCTCTTAGTTTGATCCCTATTAAAGCTCAAAAAATACTTCATTTCATTCTATTCAAATGACATTACTTCATAGATAGTGCTTTGTCGGGTAATCTAGAAGTAGTTACCTCCTTCATTCACGAATATTAAAATATTCATGAATGATTCAACTATTTGACTCGATTTTATCAACAAGATCTACTTTGAAGGGTCTCTAACAAGCCAAACAATTATTTTCATCATTCAATTAAGGCAAACTGATAACGAAAACAACAAGACATGAATCAATTATGTTAAAGTGTTTAAAAAGCAGAAATATGATATACTGCATCATCAGAAAACTATTTTGAGATGAATTCGTGACTGTTGAAGCATGTAGATGAACATTTACTTATCACGAAATGATTAACTTTTTCATTGTATAACACTATAACTCATAGTTTGTTGCATATGTTTTAGAAATAAATGCGCTAGATGTGTCAATCTTTTAGCTTTTGATAATTTTTTTGCAAAATTTATGCATCAAGATTCACTATGTTAAAATAAAAGTTTCTTAAATTTTTTTTTAAAGGAAAAAAAAACAATAGGTGATGATATCACTTCACATTTCTTTTTATTTAGTTTCAATTTATTTGTACATATTTGTATAATAGAAAAGTCTGTCTTCTCACCGAATTCCAGCGTCGGATCAATGATTCTAGATTGCTCTCACACGTATACACTCTAAAAAAAATCGGTTTTTTACCGAACCCCCAAAAAAGGTTCCGGAGATGTCTAAAAGCGTCCAAAGATGTCCAAAGTCTCAAAAAAAGGATAAAAAAATCTACGAAACCTTTAAAGGTTCTTACCGTGTACCCAGGATAAGAACCTTTTTGCTGCGAAACCTTTTTTTAAGTTCCGTACAGCAGAAAAAGGTTTCGTATTTTCCTAAGAAACCTTTTTCTGCTGTACGGAACTTAAAAAAAGGTTTCGCAGCAAAAGGTTCTTATCCTGGGTACACGGTAAGAACCTTTAAAGGTTTCGTAGATTTTTTTATCCTTTTTTTGAGACTTTGGACATCTTTGGACGCTTTTAGACATCTCCGGAACCTTTTTTGGGGGTTCAGTAAAAAACCGATTTTTTTTAGAGTGTAGAAAGACGTCAATTTGTTTTTTTAATCATTTTGAAGACGATATTTTAAAAATAAAAATCCTATGACATAAGATGAAAGAAAAATAAATTAAAAATAAAAGAATATTAAAAAAAAACATTATTTTCATTTATCATTCAGAATAGAGGAGTCTAAAAAGAAAAAAACTATTATTCTCAAATTTAATCTTCAATTTAACCGAATGAATTCATCATTGTATGATAAAAAGAAACACATATATAAAATATTCCAGATAAATTTGAAGTATAATTAAAGGTTTTGTTCTCATCGTTGATTTCTCTAAATGTAAGTGTTCGACCCACACAGTGTATATATAAGATAAAAATTTTTTTCGTCGACGACGATATGATATTAATGTACGTCAGACGAGAAAAAAAAATACACATATCACTACCTAAAAATTGATCATCAAATCAATTATGTAGTGTTATGTATTGAATGATTGATAAGAAAATCAATCAAAATCCTGAGCATCGATCAATTAACCTGAGAGTGTATAAAAACATGAATACATCATCATGAAACAATACACTCGAGTTGTATCATTACAATGTATTTATATACGCGGGTTAATTATTATTATGATATTATTTACAATGATAATGATATATTGTATTATATTTGAGGTAAATTAATTCATTTTATATTTAAAATTATACTTTTCTTTTTTAGATGAGCTACGATACGATATAACATTGAGAGGTAGGACAAAAAAAATTTTTTTACATGTTGAGTTGAGTTGAGATAACATATTTTGAGAGAAAATAAACACTCTCAGCCATTATAAGTATAAGTATGAGTACGTTTGAGATTAGACCAGTTGAGTTATAGATGTTATCAGTGTGGGTCAGAGAGCTATGTTGTCTGACTCAATAGGTAGAGGAACTTTCTTGCCATAGCGAAGCAGTGTAGTACTAGGGAAGGCCTCTATGTGTCGTTGGTCCCTATCGTTCATACGGCATACCTTCGGCCATTGCTCTACCAGTCCGGCGTGGTCCGCCTGTGGTACCTATGGCATTGACAAGGGATCTCTCCCTTGTCGCGCGCGCGCGAGTAAGCCAAAATGAGCCGAAAAAAATCGAAACGATTAGCAATGTGAATAAGTTTATTGAGCAAGCGAAAAGAAAAAATTACCGTTACATTTTCTTTTTTACATTGTCAGTTGAGTTTTTGACTGTTTTAATATTAGGATGATTAGGTGGGAGTGATTTTTTAAAGACAGAAAGTGCCTTTTCTAAAAATGAGAGTGCTTTTGAGTAGTCTCGTTTGCCGAAATAAGCAGTACCAATGTTGTTGTAGGAAGTAGCCAATGAGGGATGATTCGAAGGCAGAGCGTTCTCGAAGATTTGATGTGCTTTTTCGTGAAATTCAAGCGCTTTCGAGTAGTCACTCATGTTGTCATACACCAAACCGATGTTGTCGTAGGAAGTAGCCAATGAGGGATGATTTGGAGGCAGAGCTTTTTCGAAGATTTGAAGTGCTTTTTCGTAAAATTCAAGTGCTTTCGAGTAGTTACCCATGTTGTCATACACCAAACCGATGTTGTTGTAGGAAGTAGCCAAATCGGGATGATTCGGAGGCAGAGCTTTTTCGAGGATTTGAAGTGATTTTTCGTAAAATTCAAGTGCTTTCGAGTAGTTACCCATGTTCTTATACACTCCACCGATGTTGTTGTAGGAAGTAGCCAATGAGGGATGATTCGGAGGTAGAGATTTTTTCGTGATTTCGAGATCCTTTTCGTAAAATTCAAGTGCTTTCGAGTAGTCACCCATGTTGTTATATACTGCACCGATGTTGTTGTAGGAAATAGCCAAATCGGGATGATTCGGAGGCAGAGCTTTTTCGAGGATTTGAAGTGATTTTTCGTAAAATTCAAGTGCTTTCGAGTAGTTACCCATGTTCTTATACACTCCACCGATGTTGTCGTAGGAAGTAGCCAATGAGGGATGATTCGGAGGCAGAGCTTTTTCTCTTATTTTATGTGATTTTTCGTAAAATTCAAATGCTTTCGAGTAGTCACCCATGTTCTTATACACTTGACCAATGTTGCCATATGAAATAGCCAAATTGGGATGATTTGGAGGCAGAGCTTTTTCGTCGATTTTAAGTGCTTTGTCGTAAAATTCAAGTGCTTTCGAGTAGTCACCCATGTTGTGATACACCATACCGATGTTGTTGTAGGAAGTAGCCAATGAGGGATGATTTGGAGGCAGAGCTTTTTCTCTTATTTTAAGTGCTTTTTCGTAAAATTCAAGTGCTTTCGAGTAGTCACTCATGTTGTTGTACACTCCACCGATGTTGTTGTAGGATTGAGCCAAATCGGGATGATTCGGAGGCAGAGCTTTTTCTCTTATTTTATGTGATTTTTCATAAAATTCAAATGCTTTCGAGTAGTCACCCATGTTGTTATATACTGCACCGATGTTGTTGTAGGAAAGAGCCAATGAGGGATGATTCGGAGGCAGAGCTTTTTCGAGGATTTGAAGTGATTTTTCGTAACATTCAAGTGCTTTCGAGTAGTTACCCATGTTGTGATACACCATACCGATGTTGTTGTAGGAACTAGCCAAATGAGGATGATTTGAAGGCAGAGCTTTTTCGAGGATTTTATGTGATTTTTCGTAAAATTCAAGTGCTTTCGAGTAGTTACCCATGTTGTCATACACTCCAGCGATGTTGTTGTAGGAAGCAGTCAGTGAAGGATGATCTGCTGGAAGAGTTTTTCGATTGATCTCGAGGGATTTTTCGTGAAATGATGCTGCTTCGTCGTATAATCCTTGATGATTTTTCAGCACTGCAAGATTGTTGTAAATTGTGGCTCTAGTATCGTCGTTGGAGGTTTGTTCGAGTAGTGTGGTATACAATTTCTCGGCCTTGTTATATTGTCCTATTTTTGATAGCAATGTACCCAATCGTCCCCAACATGTCTGATGTGAATCTTCTCCTAGTATGCTTTCTGTGAGTTGACGCAGTTGTTGATCTTCATCCGAGGTCAGTATAAGATCTACTTGATAGAGTGAACTTTCATTTTCAAGTTTTCGAATTTCACCAATTCGAAACACAGTGTGCATGGAGAAAAGGATTTCATTTTCTTCCGCGAAATTACTCAGTCCTTGGATAGAGGCAAATGGACTGGATAAGATGGTCGGATCTATCGACATTTGAAATAGGATACCCACCATACCGGGTTTTTGTATGGCACTTTGAGCAAAAGCAAGAGAAGCAGCTTCATCTGTACTGGTGGATAAGAAATTATTGAAGGAAATAAGTCCACCTTTGTTCTTCTGGAGTTTGTCGAAGTCGACTGTGGATAATCCTTGTCCCCGAAAAACTTCAAAGATCTTTCCATGATAAAGACTAATCTGTTGTTTGTGTAAACTATCGATTTGTCGATGCAGATCAGCAAGAAAAAAACCCATTTTTATAATCGTCTCACCATCCAGCGTTCGAAGAGAACGATTGAGCATCTCGTAAAGAAAACACTCACGACTGTACCACCAAATTGCTGATTGATCACTATATTGAAGTTCGAACTCAGCGATATCTTTTGCTTTAGCTTTGTTATTCTTGTATTCGTTTCGCCAAAATTGAATAAAATCCTTCTTGGCTTGTCCACTATGTTTCATATCAAGAAGAATTTCCTTGAATATTTGGGAGTACATGAATGAGGCTTCAAGCTGATTGAGATCTTTGCTGGAATCTTCTTCATTAACACTGATAATGCTTACAGATATATCATCTTTATTGCATTGCTTGACAGCCATTTGCAATGCTTCACACATGAGCGACATTTCTGTGTATACACCCTTAAATTTGTTCCAATGACTACTCCAATCTTCTTGTGTAGTTTTGCTACTGCAATTGACGTAAATGGTATCGAGTTGAGGAATATCATGGATAAAGGGTACTATTAGTTGACCCATAGTATCTGATACAATGAGAAATGCTTTTTGATCATGAACTTCAGTGAGGAAGTCGACACATTCATCACGTTGTGTAAAGGTATAGACTTCGTTAGCTATGCTTTGCAGTTGTTCGAGTGTATTTTGGTAATCTTTATTTGCTGGATCAATGTTTTCATTGAGCCAGAGGATCAAATAATTTTGAGTGATGCGCCGCGTTGATCGCATGGTAAGCGATGGATCTGTTGTGTTTGCATTGGTATTCATTGTTGATTTGGAAATATTTTGTTTTGATTTTTGTTCATTCATATTCATTGAAAATTGTCATTTGTTGGTGCATAGAGAATGGTGGATAGTTGTTTGTCGTTTAAAGACAGATCACTTTTTCTCTTTATATAGTAGCTGTCTTCTGATTTTTTCTACGACATAAAATGTGGGTATTTGTTTGTCGTTAACACTCAACAACAAACTTCATTGAGTTTTAAGAGATGATATGATTGCCGGCAAAAAGAACGAAAGGAAAAAAAATCGAACAACGTTATTGCGTGCATCATTATTCTTTCCAACTTTCGTTTGACTTTCATCTTTTGCGATAACTCAAGTCACATTACGTTGGATATCTTGCCTCATACATCGTTTCTTATCAGAGTGAATTTTTTCTGTTTTTTCTGATAAGAACGAAAAAAGAAACAAAGACATCATTAGTTCGATTGCTTTCATTCAGCTCTTGATGAATATTCTGATTGTGTCAACGAAGAAGCAAGAAAAATAAATTAAATTTTGACTGAAGTAACAATCGAAAGACATTTTTACTTGCCAAACTGGTTGCTGTTAGTTAATAAGTGGTTCAAATAAAGAAAGTTGTACATTCAGAGTAAATCAAAAGTCACTTTACTGAGAAGAAAAGCTTGAGTATCTCTGTCATAATTTGACCAAATGGACTGATTTTTACACTACTATTAAGGAAGTACTCATAATTGACATTCCTACGAAAAATGCTAGAAAGCACTGCTTTAAAATATTATTATTAATATGAATATAAATCTGAAGTCTTTGATGAGTTATGAGAAAATAGTCTGATCCATATGATCAAAAATAATGAACAAGAGATATTTCCAATCAACGCTTCAATCAATTCTTACTTAGTGTTTCCTGAAACTTCTAGTTATTAATAACTAGATATATTCAGTGAATAATTTACAAAAAGTTATTTATTTTTTCATATTCATCAAAGTATCGTGCAGATACTCAAGCGTTTCTTCTCGATAAAATGACTTTTGACCCACTTTGTATTGTGCTTGATCATGAGAGATATGCATCACACTTGATTGTGGATGTCGGTAAAGTTCTCACTATAAATACATCTTCAGTCCTGCCATAGTTAGAATAGTACATTGTTGAGTTATACGTTGTGAACTGAAAGTTTTGAAACAAAGTCTTCCTTTCTGTTTTTTGGACCGATGAAAAAGATCAGTCGAAATTTTATAGAGTTGACTAAGAATCAGAATTTTGTAAGTGAATCTGTGAAAAGATTAATAATAAATGTTCGACGATTTTCAATGCATTAAAATATTTTCAGGATAGAAGAGAAAAGTTAATCTAGATTTTCTGAAGAAAAAAAGATTGTGAAAATTTCTGAACAAAATAATATTTTGATGGAAAGTTTTTCTGGAATGTAACTATTAATAATGACAGTTTTGATAGGAGCGATCAAGGCATATTCATAAGTCCTTGATTTAAAGATATACAAAATGAGTTTAGGCATGTATGAAAGACTGCTATGAGCTTTTTAATTGTTAAATCAATTTGAAGAGAACCCTCTCGTTCATTATTTTATTCAAAATTTTGAATTAACAAAATCGATGTAGTTTGTTAGAATGATGCATAGAAACACACCATATTTAGAAAGACAAATATCAATGAATTGTAACTTTTTGATCCGATTAGCGCGAAAAATGATAGTAGGATAAAATAATTTCTGAGGAATGTGTTTTATGATATTCTATGTTTGTAGTAAACAATAAAAGTTTCCCGACATATAGAAAAGACTCGAGGCATTTTACCAATATGACAAGGATAATAAGTGATCAATAAACTCATATGACTTACAGATTAGATCGCCTAATTCCAAAGAGTGTAATTTTATTTGAAAAAAATCCTTTTGAGTTGATTCAGTTCGAATTATCTATGAAAATAGCCTCACTCAATATTTTGTATCATAGCGTAAATCTCTCAAGAAGTACTTAAAACTTTTACGACTTAAAAAGTTTGTTATGTTAAATTTACTAGAGAAATATTGAGGTAAATCAAAAGCATTAACTAAAAAATTATAGAACAGACAATGTTCAAAACATCACACTAAAAAGAGAACAGAATCGCCTTTTTTTGCAGAAAGTCCTGTTGTTTTTCTCTGAAACAAAACTGATAAGAGAAAATATTTTCTCATTAATATGTTACTAGAAGAATCTTCCTACTTTTCATTTAGTCAGCATGCCACCAGCTCTATCGTTGAGAGATCTAGACTCACTTTTGCATGCCTCTACACAAAAACATACACGTATCTGTCAAATAATGTTGTCATTAGATGAAGAAATAAAATTTCAATCAGTTATATTTTTGATAGAACATCGAATGCTTTGTTTTTTTTTTGTAATAAGTCTCTCATAATTCAAGGACAGTTGTGAGCTAATAGGCAACTGGAATTGGATGTGACAGTAGAGCGCGCAAAAAGAAATAAAATTCTTTAAAAATAATGATCCAAATCGTTTGATCAAAATAAAAGATTATTTTCTAGCTTTTGATTCGTTTTAATAAAAATTTGAAGTAATATTCAGTTGATAAATCATTGATTTTTTCGTTGAGTGATTTTTGTTTA